TATAATATTTAATGTAAATTTTAATAATCAAAATCTATATTTTTAATTCCTATTAAATATATATATGCTATAAAAAAAAGAAAAATTAAATTCAATTCTTCTTTATGTAATTTATCATAACAACATGTTATAAATAAATATTTCATAAAAACGCAGAACGAAAACTAGTAACTTTTAGTAACTTGATCAAAAATATAGAGCATAGAATAAATATATGTACAATGTTGCCAAATATATTTTCAACACATATAGATACAATACACATTTAAGATATATATTGAGACAGAACAAATTATAATTTATAAAATAATTTAATATTTAAAATTTATAAATATAAACTTGTATTTTATTATATAGTATTTGTTTACTACTTATATAATACGTATAGAAATATTATAATTAAATTATAATATAAAACAATTAAACAATTAGAATATAAAATTTGAATTTAATTCAAATAGGTAAGAAATATGTATATAAATATTTATAAATATATATAATGTATATCAAAAATATTATAAAGAATGTAAATAATAGTTATATGATTCAAATACATGTAATTAATTATAATTTACAAAGATTAAACATTGAAAAAGAAATTAAAATTTTGCTTTTAAAACAATTAAATATAGTAATATTAAAAATAACAAGTAACAAAAAAAAATTTATTAATAAAAAATTTACTGTTTATTTATTATATTTTTTAGTTATATAATAATAGTAAATAATAATTATATATTTAAAATGATTTTTTGTGTACATTTAAAATAATAACTTTAAAATGAATTTGTTATTGATATCAAATTAATTTAACTTAAATATGGAAAATATATATTTATTTTTATTATAGATAATATGCAGAGATCTATTAGATTGAAACGTGAATTTGAAAAACTTAATCAAGATCCTATAGAAGGTATTTCATGTTATCCAAAATCTAACAATTTTGAAAACTTTGCGGCAACAATTCTTGGACCAAATGAAAGTCCATATAGTGGATATATTTTTCAATTGTCAATTGATATCTCTGAACAATATCCATTTGAACCTCCAAGAATTACTTTTCAGACACCTATTTATCATCCAAATATTGATAATAAAGGCCGTATTTGTATGGATCTTTTAAACATGCCACCTAAAGGTAATTGGAAACCAACTATTGGATTAAAAAATCTTTTAGATGCTATACAATGTTTGTTAAAAAATCCAAATCCTGATGATCCTTTAATGGCAGATATTGCACAAGAATATAAATTTAATAGACAAGAATTTGAAAGAAAGGCAAAACAATTTATGAATAAAACAAAAAATTAACTTTTATTCATTCGGTTACATAATATATATTATGTTTATTTTTTTAATACTTTCATTTTCATGATTTCCTAATTATTCATCATTTTAATTTTTAAAATATTAATTTTAATGATTAATAAAAAAAATAACTTCTACTACTTAATTATATAAATCTTCTATTTACTTAATTATATAAATTTCATTTATTTGAAAAATAAATATGTAACATATGAAACATGAAAATTTATAATTTATGATAAAGATGTTTGATATAACTAGATTCAGCTAGATTCAGAAAATTTAAAAATTATTTTTATTTGTTTTAAATATAACTCTAAATTTTTACTAATGAATGTATTTCATTATTATTTATAAAAGATATAGATTTTCATGTCTGTTTAAACATTTTAATTTTAATTTTATAAAATATGTGAATGCATAAAATCATATATTTATTTCTTTCTTATTTTTTATAAGATAAATATTCAATCAAAGATAAAATATCATTTTTAAAATATCATATTACAACTATGTTTTTAATAATATATTTTTATAGAGAATTAAAAACTGCATTAATCAATATAGAAAAAATATATAATTTAATTTAGAGAAGTTAAAATGATTCTGAAATTTTTAAGATATCACATTTTCATCTACTATATATATTCTTATTTACTAATAATATACTGTGTGAAATAATTTAATTAAAATCTTTTTCTATTTTCTATGGTTTAAGAAATATAGCTGAGTTTAATTATGTGAAATATAGTTTTCTTTAATAAATAATCTTTATTCTCTAATTTCAATGAAATTTGGCATATTGATATATTTATATGTATAAAAATTATAGTTAATTATAACTGTTAGCCAATTATAGACATAATGTATGTAAAGATTTGGATAGACAAAATATTTGAATAATACAATATTTGTTATAATAAAAATTTTAAAAGAAAAATAAAAGCATAGAATTTAAAATTTTTTACTTTAGCTTCAAATCTCAAGTTTCAAAAATTTCTTAGTATTAAGTTGTGCCACATGGTATATTGAATTTTTATAAAAAAAGTTTATATTATTTTTGAAAATTAGTTTGAATTTTAATAAAAAAATAGGCACCATCTAAATCCATGATTTTTTTTTAATGGCATTCTAATGAAAAAATACTTTTTTTTTTTGAAGAAGTCTTAAAAAAAAAGAAGTGATAAACTTTTTGAAGACTTAAATTATAAAAGTTCTGTTTCTAAAAATTTTTTATGGAAATGTGATTTTGAATAGAAAAATGGTTTTGAAAAGGTGAAAATCTATTGAAGGAAATAGAAAGAATAGAAACGATAAGGAAGAATTTTGTAACCTAATTTAAAAGTTTATATAATATGTTTCTGTATAGTAATTTATAAAAAAAAAAATTATGAATTTAAAGAATAATAAATATATTGAAAAAAGCTTGATTAGAAAATTAAAAATTTATTAAAAAGTACCTTTTCTATGCAGAATATAATAAACTTTTCAAAGATATCAAATTTGCAATTAAACAATCAAATAAATCTCCAAGCAACCGAACAAACCAATGCTCAAATGTCGAATGTATACAAATTTAACATTTCATGTGACATCTAATACTAAATTATTATTTTAAGTATAAAATTTCTCAAAATATAAATTATTTTTTGTAATTTTTTTATTTAAATATAATAATTTTTAAAATATCTTAAAATGTTTCTATCTTAGATTTTTTAAATTATTTTTATATGTATAATAAAAAAAAATAAATAATGTAACAAACATTATAATAAATATTAATAGTAAAGATAATAAAAAATACAAAATATATACAATGAGAAATATGAATATTTTTTAAAATGAAATAATTTTTTAAAATTGGATTAAACAACTTGAATTATTTTAAGATATAAATAGATTAGTATTAGATAATATATAAAAAAAATTTTTTTTTAAATTGCTAATGATCAGAATTGTGAAAAAAAACTATGTTATAAATTTTTAATTTTTTTATTTGAATTTATGATGAAATTTTTTTTTGAATCTATATATAATTAAGATTTAAAATATAATTTTATAGATTTAAATAAGTTATATTTTATTTTTTATTGTAATATTTTTAAAAAATCAAAAAATTTTTTATATTATTAATTGATGAATTTTTAAAATAAAAAATCAAATATCTTATTTATCTAAAGAAATTAGATACAATTATATAAAAAATGATTTCATATATAAAAATAAGTAAAAAAACAAGAATAAAATTTTTCATTTAAGATTATGTTTCTAAGAAAATTAAGTTTGAATACAAGAGAATTTAATTAATTTTCATCTGAAATGAATTATTATTATTATTATTATACAAAAATAAGTAAAAAAAAAAGAATAAATCTTTTTTATTGTCTTCTTCTTTTATTGTTTTTCTTTTCTATTCAAGTTTTTGTTTTTAAAAAAATTCAAATTTAACAAAAGTATTATTGAAATATGAATTTTGAAATTTAATTTTTTTGAAAAATAATCTTAAAATAAAAAAAATTTTATTTTATATCTGTTACTTAATCTTTATATATAAAATAATTTTCTATTAATAATCCATAATCAGAAATTAGTTCAATTTTCCTTTATTTGACAAGTTTTCAGTTTTGATTTAAAACAATGCCTTTAATAAAAAAATGTTATTCTCTTTTTTGATTTATTTTTATAAACTTATGCTCTAATTGTATATTTATCTGATCAAGTCATTTATCTAACTTCATTCATTATAATAAACAATTAATTAAAAATATAAATAATAATAGTCAAATAAAAAGAAAAATAAGTGACAAATTACTAAAACAAAAACTAACAAGTTCCTAATATAATTATTTCAATAAAATTTATAAGAAAATTAAATATAGAATATTTGTAATAATAAAAATTATAAAAATATAAATATATTCAATCATTTTTTATATTTTTTATGTATTTTTTTCAATTAAAAAATCATTAATGATATAATAACAAAAAAGATTTTTGGATTCAAATTTCAAAAATTTTTAGAACTTATTTTTAGAATTATTATGATTTAATCATTTAATGTGATATTTTAGTTAACTCAATATGGTATATGTTTAGTTCATCAAATATCTTGACTAAAATCTTTCAACTTTAATAAATCTTTTATGCATTTATATCATGAAAAAAATTCTAAAAAATATATTTTTTAAGATATATAATTAAATGTTAAAAAAAAACTGTACAAATGTTGTTGTACATTTTTGCAATGTGATAATAAAAATAAACAATCCTATTGAAATAATGAACGATTTTACCTATTGTAAAATTAATTAATAAATTAAAAAAATTAAATTAGTGAAATAATTTTTAAAAAAATTGCTTTAAAAATATATGTATGTACATATATATATAAATATATAATTTTATATAAAACAAATAATAGAAAAGATTTTGTTTTATACTTTTGAACATTAAAGTAATTATTTTAACTTGTTAATTACCAAAATTGCTTACATATAATTATATACTTTTAATTACTTTGAAGAAAACATTTTGTGGAAATTTTAAAAATATTTTTCAAACTTTTTTGTATTTTTATTTACTAAATAATTAACGAAAATTAACACATTTCAATAAAATATATATATTAAATAATGAAATTTGTAAAAAAAATCATTTTTATATTTATTTTTTTATAGGAAATCATTTTGAAAAATAATAAATATTTATTTGTATCATGTAATGAAACATTCATGACGTACATCTGTTAACATGAAATATGTTTTAATTATTATTAATTATTTTACTATAGAAAATAAAAACAATTCTATTTTATTATTTTTAATAATATTTATTTAGATATAAAATCTCTATTATATATAGTATAATAAATATAATAATATGATATTAGTATAATAAAGTATAATAAATGTATTCATTTATTTTGTAAATTATAATTATATAAATATAGACTGAATATATATTATATATTCATACATTATGTATCACAATCATAATTTATATTATCAATAGTTTATTTATAATATAAACAAATATATTTTTATTTTATATATTTTATTTTATTTTTTGATTTTATATATTCATTCATAAAATCAATATTTCAACAATAATTTGTCACTCTCAAGAAATGAGTTCAAAATGAGTAATAAAATTCATTAAATTAAAAATATGTTAAGTTTATAATAAAAAGTTCAAAAATATTTAATTTCTATTTATAAACATTAAATTTATAAACATTCAAATAATATTTAAAAATAAAATAAAAAAGATATAAATAAAAAATTAAAACGAAAGAATAATGTAAGTATTTTATATTATCTATATATATTATTTTAATCATATTAAATGATTTTATATTAAATAATTTCATATTAAATAATTCAAACTATTCATTTTATATTATTCTCATTAATAAAAAATACCAACTTTTAATAAAGTACATATATATCTATATAAAATGAATATACATTTCTGAATACGAAATGTAAGGTTAACTTTAAATTTTTCAACTTCCTATAGTTAGAACAAAGATGTATTAATTACAAGATGTCCATTTCAATATTTGATTATATTACTTTCAATTTTTATTCATAATATTTTTTGCAATATTTAAATATTTATTTTGAAGATATATTTATTTGAAAATATTTAATATAAATATAAAAATATATTTAATTAATATTTAGTTTAGATTATTAAACTTATAATTTTATGTTATATATAATATATTTAGAAATAAGTTTAAAAATATATTTTTTTTTAATTTATAGCATTGAAATTCATTGAATAAAGAAATTAGAACTATTGAATAAAAAAATTTCGATTTAATTACATATCTGTATGTGAATATGTTTTAATATAAATCCATTTATTTTTATTTATAAAATAAAATAAAATAAAATGAAAATGAAATTGTTCCTAAATTATATTATTTGACCAATTTAATTTTTTATAATATTTAATTATTATATATTTATTATAATTTTTTATAACGCCGTCTTTCGTAAAATAATAAAACTAATATAGAACGCCCTCTAGAAAAAATAA